GCACGTTACACACACACACACACACACACGACAGTCGAACCTCCAACATCAGCACGTTACACACACACACACACACACACACGACAGTCGAACCTCCAACATCAGCACGTTACACACACACACACACACACACACACACACACGACAGTCGAACCTCCAACATCAGCACGTTACACACACACACACACACACACACACACGACAGTCGAACCTCCAACATCAGCACGTTACACACACACACACACACACGACAGTCGAACCTCCAACATCAGCACGTTACACACACACACACACACACACACACACACGACAGTCGAACCTCCAACATCAGCACGTTACACACACACACACACACACACACACGACAGTCGAACCTCCAACATCAGCACGTTACACACACACACATACGCGACAGTTGAACCTCCAACATCAGGACGTTACACACACACACACACACACACACACACACACACACACGCGACAGTCGAACCTCCAAAATCAGCACGTTACACACACACACACACTCACACATGCGACAGTCGAACCTCCGACATCAGCACGTTACACACACACACTCAATCACACACACACACACACACACACACACAGTTGAACCTCCAACATCAGCACGTTACACACACACACTCAATCACACACACACACACAGTCGAACCTCCAACATCAGCAAGTTACACACACACACTCATGCCACAGTCAAACCTCCAACATCAGCAAGTTACACACACACACCACACACTCATGCCACAGTCGAACCTCCAACATCAGCAAGATACACACACACACATTCTCTCACACACACACACACACACACACACTCTCTCACACCGGTGGGTAAAGTGCTTAGATGAGTGTGTCAGTGGAGGGTAATAAATATCCTGTCATTAGCTGAGAGTCTGAGTGTGTGAAAGAGAGCCATTAACGCTGTGTGTAAGTGTGTGTGTGTGTGTGTGTGTGTGCGAGAGAGAGAGAGTGAGAGTGTTGGCCGGAGGTGAGGCGTCTCACACGGTACCGATCACCCTTCATTTAAAGAACTCCCCGGAGCCCGGCGGGTCGAGCGGCCGGTTCTGCAGCTGCTTCAGTGTGTGTGTGTGTGTGTGTGTGTGTGTGTGCGTGAGTGAGAGACGCAGTAATGAGACACAGCAGCGCTCCTGCTAAACCTGTTACAGCACATGAGGAGCGCAGACTCCACCGCCAGCAGCGATCAAGGCCACATCACACACACACACACACACACACACACACACACACACACACGTGACACAGACAGACAAATCAAAATCAAATCAAATCACATTTATTTATATAGCACGTTTAAAAACAACACACGTTGGCCAAAGTGCTTTACATATAGCCCAGCACATATAATCTAAGATTATAAAACAAAGTATAAAACAATTGCAAGAATTTAATTACAGTCAAAAGCAAGAGAGAAGAGATAAGTCTTTAAAAGAGATTTAAGACTTGTGTGTGTCACACACAACACACACACAGACAGACAGACAGACACACAGACACACACACACACACACAGACAGACACACACACACACACACAGACAGACACACACACACACACACAGACAGACAGACAGACACACAGACACACACACTCACACAGACACACACAGACAGACACACACACACACACACACACACACACACACAGACAGACACACACACACACACAGACACACACACACAGACACACACAGACAGACAGACACACACACACACACACACACAGACACACAGACAGACACACAGACAGACACACACAGACAGACAGACAGACACACACACAGACACACACACACACACACACAGACACACACACACACACACAAACGCACAGACACACACACACACACACACACTGTTGCGCTGGAGCTCAGACACACACACACACACACACACTGCTGCGCTGGAGCTCAGACACAGACACACACACACACACACTGCTGCGCTGGAGCTCAGACACACACACACACACACACACACACACACACACTGCTGCGCTGGAGCTCAGACACACACACACACACACACACACTGCTGCGCTGGAGCTCAGACACACACACACACACACACACACTGCTGCGCTGGAGCTCAGACACACACACACACACACACACACTGCTGCGCTGGAGCTCAGACACACACACACACACACTGCTGTGCTGGAGCTCAGACACAGACACACACACACACACACACACTGCTGCGCTGGAGCTCAGACACACACACACACACACACTGCTGCGCTGGAGCTCAGACACAGACACACACACACACACTGCTGCGCTGGAGCTCAGACACACACACACACACACACACACACACTGCTGCGCTGGAGTTTAGACACACACACACACACACACTGCTGCGCTGGAGCTCAGACACAGACACACACACACACACTGCTGCGCTGGAGCTCAGACACACACTCACACACACACACACACACTGCTGCGCTGGAGCTC